CTTCTTCTTCTTCTTCTTCTTCTTCTTCTTCTTCTTCTTCTTCTTCTCCTTCTCCTTCTCCTTCTCCTTCTCCTTCTCCTTCTCCTTCTTCTTCACCACCTCCTCCTCCTCCTCCTCCTCCTCCTCGATGATAGCTCTACTTTTTCCTTCCAGCTCTCCTGCAAAAGAGAAACTTTTGGGACCTGTGGACCTGGCCACCTCCCCCCCGACCCTCTTCCCACGTGTCAAGTTCCCAGAGCAGAACAGGAGCCCCGAGATTCCACCAAAGCCCCCCCTCCTTTTGAACCCAGACTTTGGTAAGTCGCGTGGAACAACTAAAGGTTTTAAGGTCCAGGTTAGCCGTGAGATGGGAATTCCCCAAGATTTCTTCCCAGTTTTACAAACCTGCACTATGAAAAGTCTGCATAAAATTCCTTTGTAGGCCAGAATGGGAGAAGGAGGGGAAAATTTCAAACTGGAAAAAGTGTACATAAAATAAATATTTGTTCTTTTTAAAAAAAATAAAATAAAACTTTTTATTAAATTTTACACTTTTAAAAACAAATCATATTTACAATTTTTGCAGTAATTTGTGGCATCAACTTTTCTGTATTCATTTACACACACACACATATATGTCATTTACATTTTACATGGTCTTTTATTCCTATTCTCTAACCAAACATACCATTTCTCCCAGACCGTATAGTATCCTTTTTCTTTCTTCTCCTGCAATTCCATTGCAAGTTTATTCATTTCTGCATGATCCATAATTTTTTTTTTTTATAATCGTATCATCTGTGGGACCACTCTCTGATTTCCAAATTTGGGCATACGTTATTCTATCTGCCTAGGTGTATTATTAAAAAAATTCTTCTAGTAATACATGTGTCCTCGTTTAGCAACTGCCCTGCTTGGTCACTACTTGCAGTTACAACAGTGAGGAAGACGTAAATTTACACCCAATCCTTAAATTTACACCCTTTGCTGGTTTTTTTTTTTAAAGCAAAGGAAAGCTGAAATTACAGTATAAACACAGTCATGGTTTCACTCAGTGACTGAATTGCTGGTCCCAGTTCTAGTCACTAAACGGGGACTCTCTCTACAGGCAGTCCTCAACCTATGGCGACAATTGAGCCAGAATTCTGACTGTAAGTCTTGGTGGTCCTTAAACAGCCACTACGTGACCCGAGTTGCTTTTAAAACCATGTTTACGATGGTCGTAAAGTTAAGTCGTTAAGGGAATCGCGTGGCCATTAAGCGAATCTAGCATGCCCGATGGTCGGGCCTGCAAATCGTGTGACCTTGGGACAAAGCCAGCAGTCACAAATGTGAACCAGTTGCCCAGTTTCCTGTCATTAAGTGAGGGACACTGAACGCCATAATGCAAGTTCCCTTGGTAGGAATTTTGGAAACAGGGCCGGGCTGGGTTGGTGGGCTGGAGAAGGCCTGAGATGGTAGGACTCTATTGCCAACGTTCACGGAGGTCTTGCCTTTTGCCTCACAATCAGGGGGCGGTGAGTTCAATCCTGGGTGGAGGCAGATATTTCTCTCTCTTTCTGGGCACGATGAGAATATATCTGCCGAACAAAACTCCTCATTGGCAACATGAAAGGCATCCGGCCAGGAAACACTCTACGAGCTCCATTCAGTTGTCCGGACTCCACTCTGAAGGGATTACGGGGTCATTAAAAGATGATGATGATGATGATGGAAGTCTTGCCTTCTTGCAGATGATTCAGATTATGAGGACCCACCATTTGAGGAGGAAGGGGAAACCTTTACGGAAGAGATGACTGACAAGGTGTGTCTGTAAGTCTCTGGCGAGAGGTTGGTCCGTGGTGTTGGAGGAGGAGGAGACTGATGGATTGGCCTCTCGGGGCTCGAGGCGAAGGCTTCCCAGCCCTGGCTGTCCAGAGACCCCGACCAGGACCTTCCCCGAGCCCCCCCCCCGGCCCCTGTAGACCCACCCTGACCAGCCAGCGGTCCAAAGCTGGCGGGACTTCCTTCCAAGCAGCAGGTTTTGGATAACGCTGGTTCAGGATAGCACTGGTCTAGGACCATGCTGGTTTAGGATGCTGCTGCCCTGGGATAATGCTGGTTTAGGATAATAACCCTGATTTAGCATCGCATTGGTTTAGGATAATGTTGGTTTAGGATACCACTGGTCCAGGATAACCCTGATAACAGATAACAAGCAGAGTTGGAAGGGACCGTGTAGGTCATCTAGTCCAACCCCCCGTCCAAGCGGGAGACGGATGTAGGATAACTCTGGTTTAGGATATTCTTCAGTTCAAGGAGTGACACGGTCGTTAAGTGAGGCTGCCCTCCCTGACTGACGCAAAAGGGGATCATGTGACTCCGGGGTGTCTCCCTCCCTCCCCCCTCCGTCTCTCTGCTCCCGTGGCGGGAGGGGAAGTAACTGGGCGGCTTCTGGGAAACCCCACAGTGGCGGTTCCTCCGGCGATCAGTGGCGGGGTCTTTGGGGCTGTGCAACTTCCTGTGGCGCTGAGACTCAGCAGCTGCCCGGGATCCAAGCCAGGAGAGGCCCTTCTCTTGGCACTTCTGCCCAGTGGGGGCAGTGAGATTTCCCAGGCTGCGAAG